TGATGATGATGAGAGGGAGTCTCGCTCTATCACCAGGCTGGAGTGCTGTGACTCATTGCAACCTCCGACTCCCTGGTTCAAGCAATTCTCCTGCCTCAGCCTCCTGAGTAGCTGGGATTACAGGCATGTGCTACCACATCCAGCTAATTTTTGTATTTTTAGTAGAGACAGGGTTTCACCATGTTGGCCAGGATGGTCTCGATCTCCTGAACTTGTGATCCAACTGCCTCAGCCTCCCAAAGTGCTGGGATTACAGGCATGAGCCACCAGTCATGCTTCTTTCATGTCCTTTAATATATACTTTCTTGTCTTTAAGGACATTGATACTATTTAGGAGTTCTGATCAGATTTTTATAGACTATTTTCTCTAAATTTTCTTAATTTGCCTGATTCTTTAATTAGATTCGGGTTAAACATTTTTGGTAGGAATACCACATAGATGATGTCTTTCTTGGTGCAGCTCATCAGAGCACATGTTGTCAGTGTACCAGTGATGTTAAGCCTGATGACTTGGTGGCCCATGTTTTCTTGCTGCCTGTGGTGTGCCAGGCACTATGATGGGCAATGCGTTAGGGAAAGAGAGGACTGAGGAGTGGGGAGTAAAATTACAGGGGTGAATAGACCACAAACCACAATATTTCCTTTAGGCAGCTCATAGTCCAATAAGGAAGACAGACCTATGAACAGATTATACATATGAAAAACACTTAAAGCAAAATGTACAAAAAGCTGTGGTCATGCTGTAGGGAGAGGAAATTGCATCACTGAGTGGGGTGGGGCAGGAACCCTGGGGAAGAAAAAGACTTCAGAGATGAGATAACATTTGAGTGGACTTTTTGAAAGATCTGTGTGACAATTTAACAGGTTTAAAAGGAAAAAGACTGACAGAGGGAACAGCATATGCAAAAGTAAGAGATATGAAAGGCAGCTCCTTCATCAGGTCAAATAGCTAATGCATGCTAGGTTTAATACTTAGGTACAGCAAACCACCATGGCACACATTTACCATTTATCTATGCAACAAACCTGTACATTCTGCACATGTATCCTGGAACTTAAAGTAAAATAAAATAAAGTTTAAAAAAATAAAGCAGCTCCTTACCACACAGATAAGAGTTTGGTCTTTTGCTACCAAAGATGGTGAGGGGATGTATATAAAAGGGACTTTCTGGGGCCGGGTGCAGTGGCTCACACCTGTAATGCCAGCATGTTGGGAGGCCAAGGCGGGCAGATCACCTGAGATCAGAAGTTTGGGACCAGCGTGGCACACATGGTAAAACCCTATCTACTAAAAATACAAAAATTAGCCCAGCATGATGGCATGCACCTGTTGTCTCAGCTGCCTGGGAGGCTGAAGCAGGAGAATTGCTTGAACCTGAGGGGCAGAGAGTGCAGTGAGCCAAGATCATGCCACTGTGCTTTAGTCTGGGAGACAGAACAAGACTCCCTCTCAAAAAGCAAAAAAAAAAAAAAATTTTTTTTTAAAAGGGACTTTCCCATCCCTGACATTTTCCTGATGACTAATCCTAAAAACAATCCCTGATCCTAACATGGGCTTATTTGAGCTTGACAGTTCACCAGATGGTTTGACTTTCTTCTCCAGTTTATGCCTCACCACAGGCCTTCTAGTTAAGCCAGACAGGCATGACTTTCCTACTTTTCCAGTGAGGAAACTGAAGCTCAGAAAGTAATGTGACTAGCTCAAGTCCACAGGCCAGTAGATGCCAGAGCTGGGGCTCAGAAATGAAACCTAAGTGTTCTATTTACCAAAGTAACCTGGTTGCTTAGCACTTGGAAGCTTCTACCTCCAGAAGTCCAGACACCTCACCTGTACTTCTTGCACCAGAGGACAGGTCTCCTCCAGCTATGCCCCCACTTCCCTGAAAGCCTTGTATTCCCTGCTGCAGATTCCCTCTGGCCCCACCAGGAGAAGAAGATGGCCTGTGAAAAATTAACTGATATTTTTGATGTCTCCAGGTCAATGTTCCTGTACCCATGGCTGGAATATCCAGACAGGACCAAAGGTGAGGCTGGGAAGGACAGAAATGGAGCCAGGAGCAGGAGCCTGAAAAAGAAATGCTACCTGGCTCCTACTCCCAGGCAACGATCTAGGTGAGTTCGGCAAACTCAAGGGAAACATCAGGGCAGGCCCTTAGACACTTTGATGGCTCTGCACAGTCCTCAAGGTAAGTCTCAGGCTCCTCAGCAGGGCCTACAGGGCCCTCTAAGATGGGACACTTGTGTGTCTCCCTAGCTTCTGCTTCCACACCTGCACCCTGCTCTTTACCCTCAACTCTCATGCCTCCAAATCTTTGTATAGAGCGTTCCCTGTGTCTAATGCTCTTCCCACTTATCTATCTGGCTAGCTCCTGTTTGTATTGAAGACTCAGCTTGTGCAGTTTCCTCTAGAAAACTTTCCCTGATCCTCCCAGCCAGGTTAGGTACCTCTCATGTGTACCACTTGTGTCTATATCTATCTTCACATTTGTTTCCCTCTGTTAATCACTAAGAAACACTTCTGTCTCTCCAGCTAGAACAGTGGTCCTCAAAACGTGATCCCATGACCAGCAGCATCAGCATCTTGTTAGAAATGCAAATTCTCAGCCAGGCACGGCGGCTCATGCCTGTAATCTCAGCACTTTGGGAGGCCAAGGGGCAGATCAAGCAGGGGCAGATCACTTGAGACCAAGAGTTTGAGACTAGCCTGGCCAACATGGTGAAAGCCCATCTCTACTAAAATTACAAAAAATAGCTGGGTGTGGTGGCACATACCTGTAATCCCAGCAACTCGGGAAGCTGAGGTAGGAGAACCACTTGAACCTTGGAGGCAGAGGTTGCACTGAGCCAAGATCATGACACTGCATTTCAGCAGCCCAGGTGACAGAGCAAGAATCTATCTCAAAAAAATGGAAATGCAAATTCTCAGACCCCACCCTTAATCTAGTGAATCCGATACTGTGGGTATGAGTCCTGGAAATCTGTGTTTTAACAAACTCTCCAAGTGATTTTTTTTTTCCAAGTGATTTTTTTAAATTGAGGGTTAGGGGGTGGTCTCACTATGTTGCCTCCTGGGCTCAAGCAATCTGCCTGCTTTGGCCTCCCAAAGGGCTAGAATTACAGATGTAAACCACCATGCCCGGCCTCTCCAGGTGATTCTAATGCACACTCAAGTTTCAGAAACTGAATGACACCAGTGGTTTTCACCCTCAGCTGCACATGAGAATCTTCTGGGGAGCTTTCCAAAATGCCTAGGCCCCACCTCCACAGAATTTGATTTGTTTAGTCTGATGAAGGACCTAGACATGTTCAACGTTCCCACAAATAATTCTAACATTCAGCCAAAGTTGAGAACACCCTGCTAGACCAGTTTCTCAAACATCGAAGTACAAAGGAATCACCTAGGGATAGTGTTAAAATGAAGATCCTAATTTAGTAGGCCTGAGGTGAAGCCTGAGATTCTGCATTTCTGAAAAGCTCC